GGATACTGATCTAACAGATCATAATAGTAAATATCATCCTATCTACTAGGATACCGATCTAACAGATCATACTAGCATAACATATCAGGATAACAATCCAAAAAGGGCCGGCCTTGGTGCCTTAGACCCTTGAGTATAGTGAGGATAACTCACCTCGCAACTGCCGACTGGAAATAGAAAGCTCAACTCTCGGATCACCGCCACCAACTCCACCACCTATATCCAACGCATCCCAAAGTTCGTAAATTCCCGAGATACCCCCAGAAGTCAACTGGTCAACCCTTTGTCAAAGTCCAAGTCAACTGGCAAGGTCAACAGTCCATGTTAACCTCAACTCGTCGAGCACCCTCAACTACTCGCCGAGTTCTTGCCTAATTTTACCAACTCGCCGAGTCACTCCCTGAATCGCCGAATCCAGGGAAATCTTCATCGGACTGGCCGGGTTATTCATCGGACTCGTCGGGCCCACGACCAACTTCATTGGACCCGCCGAGTCGACCATGCCACTCGCCGAGTCCCTTCAGACCTTCATCCATACAGATGCTTTTTAAGCCATGCAAAGGCTCCAGATTGCAGATCCAACCTTCCAAGGCCTGCTTATCACGTAAAGTTGCAAACTTTACATGCATGCAAAGCTTTAAGGCCCTAAAATGACAAAACTAAGCTTGAAATGAAGTCCAACACTTGAGGGAAGGCTCATACTTGCCAAAGCTGCTACCTTTATGGATCTAGAGAGCAAAGGGAGTCCAGATATGAAGCTACAACTTCAGATCTTGGCTCAAACACAAAAGCCTTTCCTATAACCCACCCAAAAAGAGGTTAAAGATGAGATGAGCCAAAGAGACAACTTAATACCTTCCAGAGAGTGTCAACTGATGTATATCTTTGCTTCTCACGAGTTCCTAGCTTCGATTTTACTTGTTTCCCCCAAGTGTTCCTCACCAAAATCTCTCTTCCAAGCTCTATCACACCAAAGAAACACACATACACGATTTAGGGTTTAAGGGTGCCAAGGAGCTGTAAAGGGGAGGTTGGGGAAGGCTAATGATCCTTTAAATAGGGTGCAATACCCCGGGATTTAGGGTTTCATCTGCCAGCTCCTACTCGTCGAGTCCCTTCTTGGACTCGGCGAGTAGATCATTAAATTACGTGGACCAACCCGCTGCTACTCGACGAGTGGGGCAGCCAACTCGTCGAGTAGACCTTGAAACCAAGAAAATTCTTACATAAACCAATACCTGCAAATCGGGGCGTTACACTCGACGAGTTGACTCGGTTGACCACGAGTCTGAGTAGTGCATGAACTCACCGAGTTGGGAGATAACTCGACGAGTTGGGGTTGACTAGGAGTTGACATTGACTTTGACTTTGACCTAGAAGTTGACTTTGACCAAGGGTAAAATGGTCATTTTACCCTGAGAAGGATTATCAAGATTTTTGATTAAGTGTATTATGTAGTTGATCGTCGGGGAGTCGCCGGAGCAGTAGTCAGAGATTCTTCATTCGAGTTTCAGGAGTCAGCCTTACGAGGTGAGTTTCCTTCAGTAGGAACGGGTCTACGGCACCAAGGTCGGCCCGTATATGTGGTATGTTTAGTAGCCGAGTGTGGGCGGGGCCTGTATCTCGTAGTTTAGTTTGGTTATGGATATATCCCTGATTGATAGATTTAGTTATACTTGTTGTCTGTGTGATGCTTGTATGTATGTTTAGTAGCCGAGTGTGGGCGGGGCCCGTATCTCGTAGCAGCTGAGTGTGGGCAGGGCCCGTATCTCATATTAGCCGAGTGTGGGCGGGGCCCGTATCTCATAGTAGCCGAGTGTGGGCGGGGCCCGTCTCTCGTAGCAGCTGAGTGTAGGCGGGGCCCGTATCTCGGAGTTAGCGGAGTGTGGGCGGGGCCCGTATTTCGTTGTTGTATGTTATATGTGTATGGTATATGGTAGTTTGGAGAGACTCACTAAGCTTCGTGCTTACAGTTCTCAGTTTTGGTTTCAGGTAATTCCACTAGCAAGGGGAAGGGCTTGGGATGATCGCATGACACACACCACAGTTTCAGCCTGGGATGTTTAGAATCTGATATTTTTCTCATATGATTTTGATACAGTATTTGACATGGTGTTTTGTGATACATGACTCTTGATTTTCTTTATGATGATGGATGAATTATGGTTTTATTATAAGTTTTTAAAACGAAAATTTTGGACTGTATTTTTGGGATGTTTCACTAAAACTATGTTTGGGTCATAAACCCACGTATCTCACGAGACATTATTGTCCTACGTATCTATTTTAATGCCATGTATCTCAGATTACAATTAATGAGGGAGCATGATAGATGGATGTTAGAAGTCAAGAGATAGAGAAGGGAGTGGACTTCTTAAGTTCCTTATTTATTGTATTGATGTATTCTCATTTGTTTGTTATGGTTTGTATGATGCTTAATGGTAACACCCAATATTTGTAAATGTTTTTGTGGGACCGGTTTTTTGTTAAATTTGGTTAACTTCCGAAAAGATTTTAAAACCATAGCATATTTAAAGTTTGAAAATTTTGGGGTGTTACAGTTTGGTATCAGAGCCATAGTTTAAGCGAATTAGGATTGGATCATTCCACTCCTCAACTTAGACTTTGGCTATGCAAAAATGTGAATGAGTCATAGGATTGCTATGCCTTAAGTTAGATAGAATCTTGTGCAACATGCGATAGAAAGAAAATTGTCATGCTAGATGTGAAGCTCTAGATAAGTTAGATGAACTTGTATAATGCTCTATTGAGTTCCTTTAAAGTGAGTAATGGATAATCTATATCAATGGATCAAAGTCTTTAAGTGGTGAAGTCAAGGTCGGTTATGTATGATGTGAGTATAATAGTATAGGTCCCGCACTATTATAAACACATGATACATACCCGAACTTGGTGGAACCATGAAAGGGTTTTGTGAAATGTGGTAAAGATTCGAGTGAGTTAGGGACTTAATGAACACATACCTTGTGTGAAATGAGAGTCGTTAAAGAGTTTAAAGTATGTTAACGGATAATAGAAATTTTTGACAACTTTGACTTTTCTGTCAAAGTCAAACAACTAGTATGAAAATGGGAAATTACTTGGGATACATTTGATATATGGTTGAAATTGAGTTTATACCCTTTTAGTATCATTAGTAATGAGTTAGAAACCCCAAGGAATGAATTGAATTGATTTATTTAAATTGGTAACAAACATTTAGCTCAAAAGGGACATGGTTGACTTTTGGAAAAAGTCTAATATGGGACAAATAACTGGAACTCCAAAGTCATGATTAAGAAAATTAATTGGAGTTGGTAATTAGGGACGAGCTTATGTTACATTAAGCAACTAATTCATGAAAGTTTATTAGCATTAAGATTAAACAATCACCAAATCCAAGATGAGTCTAAGGCTTTCACTACCATATTGGTGGATTCATTTTCAAGGTTTAAAAGGAAATGAAAACATACATAAAAACTATTTGTTGCTAATTAATTTGAAGATCTGTGACTTAATTAAGAAATTAAGCAACTATTTATCATTCAAACATTTTAACTTATGATTAAAAACACAAGAATGACATAATTTTTCAGATAGAAAATGCATTCATAGATAACTACCATAAGTTCATGAAAACGTCAAAAACAAGTTAATATTTGTGAAGTCCTCAACATCAACCAAATAAGAACTTAGCCAAGCATTACTAAGATTAAGAAAAAGAGTTTAAATGTGCCAAACATAATCCAATGAACAAGATGAAATCAAATCTTCAAGATAAGCTTATCTATTCGTTGCATGCGTCTGTCATTTTCATAAGGCTCTTCCTTGTTCCTGTGCTTCCAATTGTCCAAACCCGAAAATGTATCCCATGATGTCTTCAACATGGACTACAATTAGTCCAATCACCTCTCTTCTAACACTCCTTATCCCAAGATCTTCCATTCTCAATCATCATCAAGCCCAAAATCCATAATCTTCAAATCCAAGTCTGCATCCTTCTCACTAGTCTCCGGATTATCCATGCTCTGTATTAGTCTCCTAAACATCTGTAATTAAGCACAAAAACTAGAAATTACCTGATATAATACAAAAAGAATAAAACATATATATGCATTATGATTAACTAAAGATAAATTTAAATATGCAAAAATAAATTACAGAAATAATTAAATAAAATGCACCCATTAACGGTCGACAAAGGTGGATGGGGTGGGTTTTAACTAGCAACATTTGTCTCAACCATTCGTTGCCGATGAAGGCGGTTTTGTAGCCTTGGGGCCACCATGACCTTCGTAGACGCCCACAAAGGTTGCGGAAGACAATTGGCTTTGGTATACAAGGTTAGATGGAATGGATGGTGATGGGGATGGGGATGGGGAGAAGGGAGCGGTGGTGATGCGGGGTTTCTTTGTGACATTGTAGGTTATTTAAGGATATGTAGAGTGAGGGGTTGGGTTTTTCTGCCTTGTAACTAACTACATATGGAGAGAGAGAGAGAGAGAGAGAGAGAGAGAGAGAGAGAGAGAGAGAGAGAGAGAGAGAGAGAGAGAGAGAGAGAGAGAGAGAGAGAGAGAGAGAGGATGGGTTCGATTCATTTGCATTTTTTTTGTTAGTTTAAACTAGTAAAATAAAAAAAATGAATTAAATTAAAAAGGTTGTAATTTGTATAAAATAAAATTGTAATTTTAAATCAGTTAGGAAGTAAAATAGAACTCAAAAATCAAACAGGCAACATTTAAAACCACAAAGACCAAACAGTAATAGTTTTATAATTATCATCACCATGCAATTTTTTTCAAACTAAATGGGCCACTTTTATAATTTTGTATTTTTTTTTTTAAATAAGGAGGGAATCGGGTTTTGTTTCAGAATTCAGATCCCACGTAAAGCATGGGATTTCATTTAAGCAACACGTGCTTCTCAATCTTCTAGACATGTCAACACTCAACATACAAACAACAACAACAACAATAATTTGTGCCATTAAATTCCCTTCTCATCCTCACTTCACCTTCAAACTCTTCTTCCCTTTCTCTTTCTCTTTCTGTAATTCTCTGTCTCTGCTCCCAGTATAACCTTAATTCAGAATGGCAATATGGTTGGCCGGTAGAAAAGGCGCCGATTATTTCACCAAAACATTGATATCCACCACTTTCAGATCATTACGAACTTCCTCTACTGTTATTGCTTCCTTCGGTGATTCCGATGACAGCAGCACCGGGAATTTCAGAAAGCCTTATTCATTCTTTCCGTGCGCCGATTCATCACCGGCGGCCGTTTTCAGATCTCGCCGCTTTGAATCATCGCAAGCTGGGCCACAATTGGATTTCTTCTCTAGCGATGATGACGATGAACAAATTCAGGTAAATCTCTCTCTCTCTCTCTCTCTCTCTCTCTCTCTCTCTCTCTCTCTCTCTCTCTCTCTCTCTCTCTCTCTCTTTGAGCGCATGCATATATAGAATCTGTGATTTTATCTTCTTCAATTCCTTTTATAATTTGATTTCTGTTGGTGATTTTATAACGTAATTTGGTTACGCAAAACCTTGTTTGATTGATAATAGATACATTAATCAAACTCGGATTAATGTTCTTATACACCACAACTTATACTATATACCCAACTTCATTACCAAACTAGGTATTAGACCGTGTAATAGGAAGGTTGTTTAAAAAAAATTATATACGAAGAAATAAATATTAAATATTTTTTTTAGAAAATATTAAATAAATACAAACAAAATAATAAATAAATAATTTAATTTATACTAATAAACCAAACTACCGAGAAATAATTATATGTTGGCCTTATTTGTGGTTTAACCACAATTTTTTATGAAAAACAAAAAAGTTTGATTATTTTTTCTATGTAGACCGTGTAATAGGAAGGTTGTTTAAAAAAAATTATATACGAAGAAATAAATATTAAATATTTTTTTTAGAAAATATTAAACAAATACAAACAAAATAATAAATAAATAATTTAATTTATACTAATAAACCAAACTACCGAGAAATAATTATATGTTGGCCTTATTTGTGGTTTAACCACAATTTTTTATGAAAAACAAAAAAGTTTGATTATTTTTTCTATGTAGACCATTTTGGTCTAAATGACACTGAACTTTGAAAGAACGTGCCAATTTTGAATTTGAATTATATACGTTAAAGGAAACATATTAAAATTTGAAAATATAAGGAAACAAATTAATGACACATTAATTACTTTTTATAACCTAAAAATAAGAATAGTCAATTAAGAAAATTGAAAATTACCACAAAAATGACAACTGTAAATTAATTTTTAAGAATTAACCATAAAATTACATGTCAAATTACCACAAAAATAACAACTGTAAATTAATTTTTAAGAATTAATCATAAAATTACATGTCTCAAAATACATGAGAATGTAACTAAGTGGCAAAAATAATTCTTATTTATTATAGTAGATTTATTATTATTTATTTATTTGGCCCGTTTGGGAGGAAGGGCGTCACAAAATTATTTGGGAACCAAATTAGTAATTCACGTATCCATATCCAAGCATCATGTTAAGGGGGGCGTTTTGCGGAATATTTTCGGTGTAAAAGATATTTGTCAAAAGAATTAATTAGAATATTATGCCATGTTCAAAATTTAGATTATTGTTTTATATTTCCCCAAATCCTTAGACTCAAAATCTGGTCAAATTATTGGGTTTTATAAGTATATATCTATTTAAAACGGCGGATGATTTTCTCATGATGCAATATTTTATTTGCCACTTACGACTCTAATGCAATATCTTACTTGCCTTCTGGGAGTTTACTCCGGTGATGAAGACAGGGTGCAAGTCTTGTATTTTTTTATTTTATTTTTTTCAAATCTTATTAATTTTTTAGTTTGGAAAAGAAATGTTTAAATGTTATGTTAATGATGATTGGATCTATAAGTGAACTGGAACTCTTAATTTATTGTTTAGACTTTAGTTTATTCAAATAAATATGGTAGCCCACTTTCATAAGAAATAAAGTCCATTCATATCTAGGTTTGTTGGTAGCAACAATTACATCACACCATAGAAGTTCAACCATAGTTTTGATTTAAGAAAAAGAAAAAAAAACAGATCTCAAAATGTTTAGAACAAATCTATAACTTAAACCGATTATTGAAAAAAAAATCTTTTTGTACACAACTCACTTTTTGCCGTTTAAAATCATAAAAAAAATATCCTTGGAGTTTATTGTAAATTGAACATCGTGTAAACAATAAGATAGCTAGTGTCAAAAACAACTTTTATGCATATCATGTCACGATAAACATGCATTACAGATCATATAGATGTCTACTTTTTTTTCCTTTTTTTTCTTTTTTTTTAATTGCAAGAACGCTATAACATCCCATAGATGTCTACTAATTTGTATATTATTATTATTATTATTATTATTATTATTATTATTATTATTATTATTATCATTATTTTATCTTTTGCCTCCCAATGCTAAAAAATATGTTGATATGACATATCATATCTCTAACGCCAATTAAGATTTGTGGTAAAAATATGAAACAAAACATATATATTTAATCTCAATACTTTGAAAATAAGAGTTGTTAACGTATAAGTAAATTTAGTTGTATTTAAAAGAGGGTATTATAAACTTTCGAGAACATCATTGTAAATTTTACAAAAGCTTGAAATAAGTGAAGTCTTTATTTTGGACAAAACCGTAACAACAGAAAAAAAAAATCAGGAAATTAACATTTACTATATAACATTAAATAACATTTTTTAAGTTTTAATATGTCAAGTATGTAACTGCGTGATAAAGATGGTCAATATTTTGAGAAACTGCGTGATAGAGAAGGTCAAAATTTTGACCCAGTGTTTAATAAGTAATTCGTTATCTATCTACTACCGGATACTTTCGGGCACTTCTAAGTTCTAAATTACTATATTTTTTGCATCTTTCTTATTGACCTTTCCTTTTATAGTCTAAAAAAAATCTAATTATTTATTTGTATTTTTCTTTCTTATTTTATTGTTTTTTTTAATGCAATAGGGTAGTATGGATTTCCCTGGTGGTAAAATTGGGTTCACTTCTGAAATGAGGTTTCTCCCGGAGTCATCTGAGAAGCGAGTGGAATGTTATCGAGTTCTTGATGATAACGGCTATGAGCTTTCATCTCCCAAACAACATGTATATATATCTATTCTTTTAAATAATCTTTTAATAATACAAATAATAAATTAATTATTTGATGATCATGAAAACTTTGAATATATATTTAGATGAATAAGGAAGTTGCAATGAAGATGTATAGTGGCATGTTGACACTTGACAGTTTGGATACGGTTTTGTATGAAGCACAAAGGCAAGGAAGAATATCGTTTTATGTTACTTCATTTGGTGAAGAAGCTATCAATCTAGCATCAGCAGCAGCACTTTCCTCCGATGATCTCATTATGCCACAGGTATTATTTTAATGTGTTTTATTTTCATCATATTATATCTTCAAAATTGTACAAATATTGAGTTTTATTTATATTTACTTTGTTTGTAACTTTATAAAAAAATGAAAATTGTTGCTGTCGTATTGTGATATTTAATATGATCAATATATTTTCTTAAATGATTGTAGAGTTTAGTTTACATCATTTTATTGTAAATGATTTTAATTTATTCCACCTTCACATATCTTTTCCTTGTATTTGACGTTTACAGGTTTTCATCACTATCATATTTAATGTTATCTAGTCTTTCAATTATTGTAACAATAAATGCTACCAATAACTTCTATTAGTTTTAATTAGATTCAAACTTGTTGGGTTTTTGTTAGTTATTTCTGTAGTAGTCTTTAGACTTTGTCAATTTATTTGATGTATCGAAATTTATAAAAATAAAATAAAAAATGTTTTTGTTGAATTACAACGTTACTAAAGATATTATTTAAAGATAAAATTTGACAAATTTTATTTATGTGTACAAAATAAATATATTTTCAAATTATAATACCGGGTAATAAAAAGTGGGCCTATATATATATATATATATATATATATATATATATATATATATATATATATATATATATATAAAAGTCTACTGAAATTTGGTTTGGTTGGTATATATGTTTATCAAAGACGTTAACGATAACATCAATAAAAGCTGATCGATGTGACTAAATTGACATGTAATCAGCTAGGATTTCCTTTTAATAGGTGAAGATCCTAAATAAAATGGACATGTTTGCTCATTATCATGATGACAAGTAATTAATATTTTGTTGGCATTAATTTCAGTATCGAGAACCAGGAATCTTGTGGTGGAGAGGTTTTACATTGCAAGAATTTGTGAATCAATGCTTTGGAAACAAGAATGATTATGGGAAAGGAAGGCAAATGCCGATTCATTACGGATCCAAGAAGCACAATTACTTCACTGTCTCATCACCTTTAGCGTGAGTGGTTATCTCTGAACACAATACAATGTCTTGTCTTGTCTTGTCATATCCTGTCGTTTCTATAGTAACACGCGAAAAATAACTAATCATTTATTTGTCACTTATTTTCAGGACACAACTTCCTCAAGCTGTTGGTGCTGCATACTCTCTAAAAACAGAGAAAAAAGATGCATGTGTTGTTGCCTTTTTTGGTGATGGCAGTTCAAGTGAGGTACCTTTTCTAGACCTATTTTCGATAATCTTTTGCATAGACAATTAATTGATATTAGTTCCAGTTTCAGTTCAATGCATGCAGAACGCGATACACTGACTGTTGTGTCTTGTCTTGTCCTGTCTTTTAACTTTGTTTGTGATTCTTGTTTAGGGAGATTTCCATGCAAGTTTAAACTTTGCGGCGGTTTTGGAAGCCCCGGTTGTTTTCATTTGTCGCAACAATGGATGGGCTATTAGCACTCCTACCACAGATCAATTTCGAAGTACTTATAACTATTTTCACTCTTAATTAACTTTTTTACATTTACCATAACAAAATCTACCTCAAAACGTTTTCAGGTGATGGCATTGTTGTGAAGGGACACGGGTATGGTATCCGAAGTATCAGAGTGGATGGAAATGATGCTCTCGCGGTCTATAATGTAGTACGTGTGGCCCGTGAAATGGCTGTCACTGAACAACGACCGATACTAATCGAGGTATTAATATTAACCTAATAAACTGTTCCAAATTCAAATTGATCAACTCCAAAATCCCAACTAATTATATATGTTTTTCCTTATCTTTTATGGTATATGAACATGAAGGCTATGACTTATAGAGTAGGGCACCACTCAACTTCTGATGATTCAACAAAGTATCGGCCCGCAGATGAAATTGAACACTGGAAAACATCGCGAAACCCGGTATCCATTTTTAGGAAATGGGTTCAGAGAAAAGGTTGGTGGAGTGATGAACAAGAATCTGAATTTCGAGCCAACATTAGAAAGCAGGTGATAAATGCAATTCAAGTAGCGGAAAAAACAGAGAAGCCATCACTTGAAACATGTTTACTGATGTGTATGAAGAGTTACCTTCAAGTCTAAAGGATCAAGAGAGATTGATTAGAAATACAATAAAAAGACACCCACAAGACTATCCAACAGATGTACCTTTATGACTTTGATTATTCATTTATTTGTATTGTATGTAATTGTTATGTATCTGGTAAAGGTTTATAGAGTGAGGAAATATAATAATGCAATGTTCTCATTAATGTTTGCCAAGAAATAAAGTCGTCTACTTTGTTAATGATAATTAAGTGATAGATAAGATTGAGATTGAGAGAGAAGCTCACTTCTTTTTTCATCTATGAAATAGTCACATCTCACTTATTCTCGCTTTTTAAATTTATTTTTTGAAATATAATTAAATATAAAATTAATTTGCTAAATAAAAACATGATTATTTTCTGAGGATTAAATTTACTTTCGCATATATCTATAAACCTTTAGACTAATCCACTTTCCCATATTATTGTTAATCCTTATGGAGTGTTTGGTTTGATGATTGTTTTCGGAGGAGGATTGAATTTTTTTTTCGAGAAAATTGAAATTTGAAGGTTTTGAAAATCGAAGGAAGTCAAATCCAATCACTTGTTTGGTTGGCAAAAATGGAATGGATTTCAATTCAATTCTTTTCGATATTTCTGTTTGGTTGGGCAAAGAATTTGGAATTCAAACGGTGTCAAATGACAAAATTGTCCTTTACTAAACTCTTTATTATAAAATAAAATCGTTTTAAATAGGTAAGAAAACATTCAAATCGATTTCTTTAATGATTCCCTTTTCACGAAAACGTGTAAATTGATTTGTGTTCAAATCACTAAAATATATCCGCATGATAACAAATTATAAAAAAACTATAAACCATATAAATTGCAAAATCAAATAAAGAAACTTATAATACTATTAAGATCTATTCATCATCATATAAAGTATAAATATAAATAAATATTCGAAGAATAATTTGATCACAATTATCAATTATGTAAAGGAAATAAACATACAATTAATATGTTTATAATCTATGAAAAAGTAACTTACAGATTCTGAGTATAGAAATTGTAAAATCAGAGAGATAGGTAATAAAGTACAGAAACAGACATCAAAACCGATGCTGAGTATTGAAATTGCAGGAAAAAACTTTAATCATCATCATTTTAAAACAGATCGCAAGAAACAAACATCAACATAATTACCAAACATGCGGATGAAGCGAGTGAATAAAGACATGCGTCAAAGTTCAAAGTACTTCAGAAAGAGGGCTCAACTCACTTTAATTAAATAAAATCTCTTTGTTGTAATCTGCTTTTTGTTTGATTGTTTTGCTTGTCAAAAATCTAAATCACCAACTGTGAGTAAAATCTATCGATGTCTAAAAAGATAAAAACCAGACAAATGAAATGTCAATGAATTGATGGAAATCTTTCTGCTCTTTTTCCAATTCCAATTGCAGCACATCCCAATATGTTCTTTCCCTACTTACCCACGTTTAATTAACAAAAAAGATAGACAAAGATAAAAACTTGGGGCAATTACTAAAGTAGCCAAATTAGGGAAGTGATTAGCAATTTTTAGCCAAAAATTAGTAAATGTCCAAATATAGCCCACGAAACCGCAGGTTTCGATATTCGTCTACAGTTTCGCCAATTCGTCTACTGTTTCGTGTTTTGTATAAAAAAAAATCATTTTTAAGATACAAAACCGTAGGTTTTTTAAAACCTACGGTTTCCCAAACCGTAGCCTACGGTTTTGGGAAAAAAAATACGTTTTTTTTTTAATTTACTGTTTTGGGGTTAAAATCTACTGTTTTGTCAAAAAAACTACTGTTTTAAATTTATTTATTATTATTATTATTATTTTTTTTGTGATATAGACTAAAAAAAGATTGTTTATAATATGTAGAATTATTTTAACAATCATTTTGTTTAAATTTTTTGAGAATTATTTATAAAATGTAGAATTATTTTTACAAGTTATTTTGAGAATTATTTTAACAATTTCTACATATTATAAACAATCTTTTTTATAGTCTATATCACAAAAAAAAAAATTTAAAATAATAAATTTAAAACAGTAGCTTTTTTGACAAAACAGTAGATTTTAACCCCAAAACAGTAAATTTAAAAAAAAAAAAAAAAAAAAAACCCTTTTTTTTTTCAAAACCGTAGGCTACGGTTTGGAAAACCGTAGGTTAACGAGAGGAAACCGTAGGTTTTAAAAAACCTACGGTTTTGTATCTTAAAAATGAAAAAAAAAATTATACAAAACACGAAACAGTAGCCCATTAGGGGAAAAGAGTAGTCAACTGCGGAAAAGAGTAGTCAACTTCGGAAAAGAGTAGTCAACTGTAGGTTGACAACTCTTTTGTGGGCTATTTTTGGCTAAGTGGTTTTATTTGATTATTTTTTGATAAGTTATTAAGGATTTTGGCTAGATTTATATTTATCTCTAAAAACTTTAATCGATAAAAAATATGTTGAGTAAAATAAGAAAACTTTAATCAACACACAAAAAACCGTAATTAACCAAAATCAATAAACATATGCAGAGTATAGAATCACATAAGCATTTCCCCAACAAAATTCAACAAAACAAACATCAGTACACATGAAACTCGTTTATTATCAATCAAAATCAACAAAAATGGAGAAAATAAGTCAAAGAACTCACCAAGGTCGTAGTCGAGCACACAATGCAGAAAGATAGTGATGGTCTAAATAGTAATGGTAGCAACGTCTTGAGTTTAGGTCGTTGAGTTTAGGGTTAATCGCAACAACTTTCGTTGAGTTTAGGGTTAATCACAGCAACGTTCGTGGGGTCGAAGTGTAGAGGATGGAGCGTCAAAATGTTGGAGTCATTCACAATGAAATTCTAGGGGTCCACAGTTCCTTACCCAAAAAATATGATATATCACTTCACTACATCGGTATTACTCCTTGCAGCATCTCCAACTCACTCCTATTTCCATTATTTTCCCTATTTTTTCCTCATTCTTCTCCAACCCACCCTCATTTATTCTTCTCCAACCCACCCTCATTTATTCTCCTATTTTGGGGATATGAATAGTATTACACCAAATATTGTGGTATACTATTCATTTCTCCCAAAATAGGGATGAACTTTATGTTGTTGGTTTTAGTCTCTTTGTTTATATATTTATACATTTTTAATTTATTTTTACCTACTAATTATAATTTAAATGTAATATTTAATACTTATAATATTTTGTTATATATTAAATTATATTAACTAGTTATAGATATAAAGTTTGTGTTTTGTTCATCAAATTCTTATAAAAAATTAAATACATATTGAAAATTTTTAAAAAACAATAACATATTTTACAAAAGCTTATAAATGTGTTATAAATATAATCTTATTTATTTAATATTATTGTAATGAAAAAAAATATAGATTATATTTTTGTTAAAACCAAATTAGTAAAAGGGTGTGTTTGACAACCTATGTAAGTTGGAAGAATGAAATATACTTTTTAGGGTAAAAAATGGAGTAGAGTTGGAGATGAAACACTATTTATCCTATTTTTTACTCCATTTTTGGAAAAAAAATGAGAGTGGGTTGGAGATGGTCTTAGGTTGGAGGTAACGGTGTTATAGAAACAACACTTCCTTTCCTTCACTACTACGTATAATATATTATTACACTACGTTAGTTTTTACCACCAAAGTGTAGTTCTTTGTCACACCTAAGAGCCGGGAGTGTGTACGGGAAGGATCCCTCACTTTTTACATGTCACGTCAGCCTTTTGCTTTACTTTTCTTTCCGTCACTAACACCTTGTTTCCGAGTTTCATTTAAAGGAAAGAAATAAAAAAGAAAAGAAATGTGGAGAGAAAAGAAAAGAATGGAAAGGAAAGTAAAGTGTATTTTTCTATTCCCGGGTTCGAGAGAAAGAAAAGGAAAATTATTTTTCTTTGTGTTCCCGAGTTGGAAGGAAAAGAAATGAAAAATAAAAGTGGACAACTATACCATTGTCACCTTTTTTCCATAATTTCAAATATATACGACACGATTCTCTTGAAAACAAAATTACGCCTAAACTATTTTTTTTTGTCAACTGTCGCCTACATCTCGACTTCTTTAATTATTTTTTTCACATGATTATTTATAAAAAATCATTAATGCATAATTCATTATTAATCACAATTCAAGTATGTTCTTCATTTGTATCTTTTTCAAACAAAACCAATATAAAGTGGAATAGAAGTCAATAAACTCAAACCAAAAATAACATAAATGTATGAATAATCAAACAAATTCATAAGAAACCAATTTAAAGTCAATGCAATAATAATCAAACAAATTCCAATGTATGAACTCAAACCAAAAAACAAAAAATATAAAGTCAAACTGATAAAAAAAATCAAAAAACTAGCATCCTAAGTAAGTCATTTACTTGCCCAAATCATTTTTTTCAGCAAACTTTTTCATATTTTAAATGGAACTCTAAATAATGTCCCCGCATCGGATTGATTTCGCGACAAAAACATGAGAGCTTCTGCTAATTCATCGGGTTCCAAATCCATTGGCTCTAACTCTTTATAAATTTCCAAACCCGATGATGAGAGTTTTCGAAGATTTTGTTACCCTCCCTCATAGCAGAAGCCACATCTTTAACTGCACTCATAACAACCTTTTCAAACGATTTAGGTTCAGCTTCAGGTTCATCTTCATCTTCAATTTCATGTTTCCTTTTTTTACTTTTGTACTTCTTAGAACTTGAATTTTTCACCGGTGAAAAGCATGTAGGAGATAACACTTGAATATCATCATCATCATTATTTTTTTTGTTGTTTCTCAAGTGTTATGTCATTGCTTGCTAGTAAGTGATCCACTTCTTCAATTGTTTCTACTTTGATATCCTCAGTCCTGTTCAATCGAGCATTCTTCTCTTTCGGGGTTTCAGCATGCACCCCTGAAGCCCTATCTCTCGCAAACAAAGCTATCATTTCATTGTAGTTTGGTATTTTTTTGGACTTTAATGAAATTGCCTCAGGCTTTGACTGTAACACACAATCCCAAATACAATTATTGTTAAGAAAAATAACATAAATGTATACAAACTAAGTAACATGCAATAAAAAAACTTACATTGTTTATGTTGGCCCACACTTCCTCGTCCGCTTCAATTAGTTGTGTTTCAGAATTCCAACCGAACCCACTCAATGAAGTTCCGCGGAACATGTCATACCATTGCGAAAAA